GCCGCGGGAGGCCCCATATCCATGCAGCGCCCTGTCTGAGCTGCGCCCATGTCCATGCAGCGCCCTGTCTGGGCCGCGGGAGGCCCCACATACACACAGCGCCCTGTCTGGGCTGCGCCCACATCCACACAGAGCCCTGTCTGGGCAGCAGGAGGCCCCACATCCACGCAGCGCCCTGTCTGGGCTGCGCCCACATCCACGCAGCACCCTGTCTGGGCCGCGGGAGGCCCCATATCCATGCAGTGCCCTGTCTGAGCTGTGCCCACGTCCATGCAGCACCCTGTCTGGGCCACGGGCGGCCCGCCCACCTTGAAGCTCTCCTCGAAGTACTTGTGCTCCTCCAGGAACATGGCGTAGTTGATGACGATCTGGGGTGTGGCGATGCGCAGGTCCAGGATGCGATCGTACACGGCCTTGGTGGACTGGAAGGTTCCGAGGCTCTCCTCCAGGTCAGCGAGCATGGACCACACCTTCAGGGACTTGTACACACGGTTCTGGACCGGCTCTGAGCCGACGAAGTACTCGGCCCGGCGGGCGGGCAGCGCCGTCGCCTTCTGCAGGGGAACAGGAGAGAGGGTGCTTGGGGGCTGCCAACCCCGCCGCACCCACACCCCGACCCCCACCCGGTGCTGGGGCTGCCCGTACCCGCAGCAGCCGCAGGGCCTGGTCGTAGTTCTCGTGCCGCAGCTCCAGCTCGCCACACTCGCACCACACGCTCGCCAGGTCGTCCACCTGCTTGAAGTTCACCTTGGTGGCCTTCTCCAGGATGACACGGGCCTGCAGGGACGGGGCAGCTGAAGCCCTGCCAGCCCAGCAGCCACCCTGACAGTACGTGTGCACAGCCACACACGGCCGTGTGACTGTGTTTATGGCTCCCAGGGCCTTGGCCAAGGAGAGTTTGTACACTTCATGTTTGCACACACCCAGGTAGGTCCACACACTTCTGCATACTACACCCTACACCCAGGTACACCCAGACCTTACCTGTGCACGCTACACCCCACACCCAGGTACATCCACCCCCCATCTGTGCACGCTACACCCTGTACGTCACTCCCATGTGTGCACGCTACACCCCACACCCAGGTACATCCACTCCCCATCTGTGCACACTATACACCCAGGTACATCACCCCCCATCGGTGAACGCTACACCCTACACCCAGGTACACCCACACCTTACCTGTGCACACTACACCCCACACCCAGGTACGTCCACCCCCCATCTGTGCACACTACACCCCACACCCAGGTACGTCCACCCCCCATCTGTGCACACTATACCCCACACTCAGGTACACCCATGTACAACCCTACAGCCGTACCCACTCAGACTACACCCATATATGCTACATCCCCACAACTACTAAGTACGCTCACATCACACTCATGTATTACACCCTGACACCCCAGTACATCCACACGGCAAATACGTATGCTGACACTACACTCCAGTACCATCCATCCACACACCTATGTATACAACACTCTAGATCTACACCTCACCCATGCTGACTACACTCCTCCACCAGGGTACAACACCCCACACCCATGGACCTGCCCTCACCTTCATGTGTACCGCACCCCTACACACACACTTAAACCTCTACACATTACACCTATTCACACTGACGAACACCCCACCCCATGTGCATTACACTCCTATCACCCACATATACACCACCACATCCCCCACCCACACACAATAACACCCATACACTCAAACCACACTCGTACACTATCCTCTTACAACCACGTGCACAGCACACTCTACACACACACACCACACTTATACTACATCTCACATCCCATCTACTCGTGCCCACTCCATTCCCACGCCCACATTTACTTACATCACACATCCCCCACACAGAGGCCCACAGACAGGCACACATCCACGTCCATGTTGACCCACCTGCATACTTATACTCACCTACATGCACACGTTTTTGTTTGTTATGTGCTGTCAAGTTGCTTGAAACTCACAGCCACCCTATGTACAACAGCCCTGAAGCCTGCTCTCTCCTGTGTCAAGCTTACTGTCTCTGACACCCCCACCCTTACTTCCCCAGTCACTATATCAAACCATCTCATCAATAATCTTCCTCTCTTGTGCTGTCCCTCTTTTCCAAGTATAATGTCCCTCCCCAAGGTCTGGTCCCTTCTTACAACATGTCCAAAGCATGTCAGACGAAGCCCCAGAATCCTTGCCTCCAAGGAGCAATAAGCGCACATACACACTCATAATTATGCACACTTCTTGTATGTACCCATACGGATATGCAGCATATCTGCATACGTGGTGTGTGCACAAACACACAAATTACACAAATATTCCACATCCACCCACTTACGTGCTCACCCACATACAATGTGCACGCACGTACACACACCCCCACCCAGTGCAGGCACTTCCTGTACGTGCGCACACACTGCACACATCTCCATGCATGAACACACACAATGCACCTGTGAACACACACAAACAGACCTCCACATCCTACGCACACAACCACTCACGGTGGGCAGCTACAAGCAATGCTGTCTGAGAACACGCTTGCCCACAGACACGTGTGCACACACATACACAGAGGCACACGCAGTGTGGTGCTCACATTGTCCACCTGCCCATGCCTGGACACACGCACATGCACACACACTATGCACACACAGCGGCGTTCACACCATCCCCTTGCCCATACACACAAATGCACATGTGGCGTGGCACTCACGTCGTCCAGCTGCCCGTTGTCCTCGTAGAACTTGGCAAAGGACACCCACAGAGTGTGGGGCTTGCCTGTTGCCTTGAAAGGGTCCACGGTCTGCACAGCCTCCGTGTAGGTGTTGATGATCTGGGGGTGGAGGGACAGGGTCAGAGGCCCTGGGGGAGTGACTGCCTGGGCGGAGGCGCAGGGCAGGGGTGACGTGTACCTCTCGGGGCCGGCCCTGGTGCAGGGCCACTCGCTTGTGCCACTCGTGCACGTGGTGGGGGTTCTGTCGCAGGAGGACGCTGTTGAGCAGCAAGGGCCGCCTGCTGATCAGCTGCTCGAAGCGGGCCAGGCGCAGCTCCAGGTCCACGTCGTCTGAGCCGTGGATATGAAGTGAGGCGGGAGAGGCGGGGGTGAGCACTTCAGCACTCCACCGGCTCCTCACCTCTCTGGGAGACGCACGACTGTCCAACCAGTACTCCGTCTCACAGTCCCACACCTGAGCCACCCCCAGCTTAGGCCCTCCACTGGCCAGCCCCCTTCCCGAGCTGCCCTGCTCCAACCCTCAAAAGCACCAGTCAGCCTGAGCTCCTCTAGGCTCCCCGTCCCCAGCCCCGGCATCTCACGGCCTCTGTCCTAGCCTGCTGTCCACTCAGCCCAAGCTCCAGGGAGTACAGACTCCGCTAGCCGACACTCAGGTCCCCTAATGGCCGTGGTCCAACCTGTCCCTCTCCCCAGGGGCCTAGGCACCGGGCTGCTCACCCTCCTCCTCGCGCCCCAGCTCAGAGGTGGTCTCCATCTTGGCTGCGATCATGCTCTCCTCGAACTGGGCATAGCTGTCAAAGACCTGGGTAAAGTCCCGCACGGTCATCACGGTCCGGATGGCCTCCTCGTACACATCCCGAGCCTGCAGGAAGGAACGTGTGACCATGAGGAGTGGACACAGGCTATCCAGTGGCACTGCGCTTGATGCCTGCCTCAGAGCCCCCAGACAGGCTCTCCTCTGGGTACTGTGGCTGTGGCCCCTCATTTCCAGGACCCCTTGGGCTCCAAGGAATGAGCAGATTATTCACGGTGAAGCCCAGAGACACAAGTCAGGTCCCGCCCTGTGTGGCCAGGGTGCCCAGGAAGAGCTCAGTCCTTCTCAGGGAGCTGGTCGGTCCCCACACGCACCGCAGTGCTGGGTGAAGAAGATCCCTGTGTGAAGCACGTGGCACCCAGAAACGACCCCCATACTGTGCTCTAGCTCCTCACTCCACGGCTAAGCACCCTCCTGTCTGCCGAGCCCTTTTCCGGCTCTCAGGTGCCTCCCCTGGCTGGGCGGGAACCCACCGAAGGGGTAGAAACAGTCATCATGGGCTTTACACCAGCACAAGCCTGTCCCCCACAATGTCGGCCTGGGAACCCTCCCACCCGGCTACCACCTCACTCCACTGGCCCTGAGATCCCCCTGCCCACCTCTCACCCCATCCCACACATTTCCCCTGCCTGGCTCCCAGCTGACTCCACTGGCTCTGAGGTCCTCCCCACCCACAACTACCACCCCATGCAACTGGCCCTGAAATTCTCCTGCCCAGCTCCATTCCATCCCACTGACTGAGATATTCCCGCCGGGCTCCCACCCTACAATGCCAGCCTCAGATCCCTCATACTTGGCTGCCACCCCACTCCACCGACCCGAAGATCCTCCTGCCCCACTCCCACCCCACCCCACTGGCCCTGAGAACGCTTCTACTCGGATCCCACCCACCCCATTGGCCCTGAGAACCTTCTGCCCAGCATCGATCCAACTCCACTGGCTCTGAGATCCTAGCCCCCCAAGTCCCACCCCACCCCACCAGCTCTGAGAACCCTCCTGCCTGGCTCCTACTCTGCCCTCCTAGCTGCCCAGATCCCACCCACCTCCTCACTGGCCCCAATTACTGCTCTTCCCCTCCCTGCACTGAGCCTATTTGGGGAGCACCCCCTGGAGAAAGTCAAGAGCTCAGCCACTGACCCCCACGCTGGAGAACGCACTGCGTGATGAGGAGCAAGGTGGCGCGGACAGTAATGGAGACCCTACCCAGCCAGAGAGGTCCTCACAGTCACCTGGTGGTGCTTCGGGGTCCTTCTCCCCGATTCCTGTACAAAGGGGCACTGTTGCCCCTCTAGAAGAAACTGAGACCAGTTTCTTGGGTGGAGGCTTACCCAAGGCCAACAGCTGGGGATCAGGGCCAGACCTGGACCCCTTGTGGGTCAGGGCTTTTGACGGCAGATCGTCCCGCCCTCCCCACCTACACGTGCACATCCACACAGGCTTTCTGCTCACACACGTCCACGTGTGTCCTTGGGTGGCCACTTGAAGGCTATGCTGGAGAGAGACCCGCCCTGCCAACAGAGGTGCCTGACCCCACACCTTCTCGAAGTGGCCGCTGCGGATGTAGTAGTCGGCCAGCGAGCACCAGAGCTTGCCCAGCTGGTCAGTGAAGCGGGTGAGGCCCCCTCGGATGATGGCGTCCACGTTGAGGGATTGCACCTTGTCCGGGTTCTGGGAGATGAGGTCGCACAGCTCGTGCCACAGCTGCGGGCACAGAGGGGAGGTGTCTCAGCTTTGCATCTGACGTCACAGCCCCTCTGGCTCTGCCCTGCCGGCCCCCCTACCCCTGACCCACCTGGTAGTTGGACTTGCCAGCTTTGGACACGAAGCGTTCATCATTGACTACGGTGGCCAGGCGCTGGGCAGCCTCGTCCAGGCAGTCGCTCGACTTGAGGTACTCAATGTATTCCTCTGCACTCTCGGGGCTGAGCTGGGGGGCACCCACCCGTTGCCTGCTGTCAGTGGGGCCTGGGGCCGCATGGCCAGGCTCCCTCCCCACTGAGGGACTCTAAGACCTCCCACCATTCACCCAGCACATCCCTGGCCAAGAGCTGGCCCTGCCAACCCAACCAAGCCCTTCCAGTTTGGCCAGGACACTCCATCCCTCCAAGTGTAATCAGGTGGACTGCTAACCAAAAGGTTAGAGGTTCAAATACACCAGTCCCTCCATGGATGAGAGATATCGCAGCCTGTTCCCATTAGGATACACAGCCTTGGAAACTACAGGGCAGTTCTTCCTGTCCAAGAGGGTCACTACAAGTCAAGATCAACCGGACGGTGGTGGGCTAATTGCGTGGTTTAGGGGCTAACAAACACTGAAAAATCAACAAACAAATTAACAGGCTAAACCCATCTATCTCAGGGCGCCTTTCCCCACATGCTGCCTGGCAGACCCGAGTGCGTCTGTCACCCAAGAAGCCTGCTCCTGGGAACTAAGGTCTGTCTGCGGGTCCACACCTGCTGGCTCACCTTGAGGAAGCGGCGGTAGCCACGCACGGCCGTCTCGGGCAGCGGGTGTGAGCGCAGGAAGCGCAGATACAGGGGCCAGATCCGAGAGTGCTGCGTGATGGGCAGTGCCCGGAGGGCCCGGTCAAAGGTGCGGCGGGTATGTGTGACGCGCCCCTGGTCCATCAGGAACTGGCAATAATCCAGCCACAACCGTGGCATCTGGAAGCATGGGGAGAGGGAGGCATGTCTAAGCTTTGGGCCCCGCAGTCCGGCCACAAAGCAATCCCGTCCTTCAGAGCTGAACTCCAACACCCTGGTCCCTGGCCCTTCCACGAGGAGCCCAGCCCCCTGCGTCAGCCCCTTCCTGACTCATGCCCAGGGCCACCCTGGCCCCGCCTGGGCTGCGTGCACAGAGGCCCAGCCTCCCACCTTGTGCATGAACACAAAGGCCCTCTCGTGGCAGTTGTTGACATCCTCGTAGGCCGGGTCGGTCACACAGCGGTGCTTCACCTGTGCCCGGCGAGCCTTCAGGTAGCGGTACCAGAGCTTGTAGCTGGGAGGATGGAAAGGACAGACGCTGGTCGGTCACTGTTATGGACCCTTCCAGAATCCTTCACCCTGCGCAGGGCGGAGGGAGGCTGACAGGACAAGTCTCAGCGGTGGGCATATGCTCCAGGAATGGTCGTGTCAGGGGATCAGTTCCGGACAGCGGCCAGCACCAGGGCCCGACCTGCCAGGTCTGCTGTGGGGGGCTGGACGGGTCTCCAGGGGTGGTGGGAGCCGTTCCTACCTGCAGGGCAGCAGCTTAAGTGCCCGTTCGTACAGTTGGTTGAGCCTGGGTTTCGGGGCACCTTGCTTGAACTCGATATAGCGGAGCCAGCACTTCACCGAGTACGGGTTCCGCATGATCTCCTCCTCATAAGGGAAGTCCTCTTCCTCATGCCAGTGGGGAGAACAGAGATCTGTCCTCGGAATCTGAACACACTGAACCACTCCACGGGGCCCAGGTCCAAACTCCAGACTTCCCCCCCGATATCAGACCACACTGCTTCCATCAGCCAGGCCAAGACTCTGCACCAGAACGCCACTCCACTGACAAGACTCCACAGATAATCAGACTCGGTCATGGGGCTCCTGGCGAGCCACGGTCACCTGGACGCCAGACATTCAGTCCTCTGAATCCCACCACCCACTGTCTGACCCAGATCAGAGGACTCCTTGGACACCAGGGCAATGACCCAGATGGATCTCGGCCATCAGGGTGAAACGTGCTGAGACCAGAGTTCTGATTATTTCTTCACCACTTGCTAATATTTCCCACAAGTGGGGGAGTTGAGGTGACTGTAAATAAATGAACAGACACAAATGCAGGGGTGATTTAGCAAAATAAGTGAGAAACGTTTACTAAAGTAACACAAAGGAGGCGTGATTGGTCAAAGACAGGCCGTGCGGAAGAGTTAAAGAGAAAAGTGAAGAAAGAGGGGAAAAGGGAAAAAAAAAGAAAAGGGGAGATGCACCCCTGGAGAGAGTGGGCCTCAGCTGGGCCCCCAGTGTCCTGAGACTGGTCATGGCCTCGCCCCGCCTAGGGACCTGGGGGATTGGCTGGGGTTTGGACCCCTGCATTCCAAAGGAGGGAGCCTCTGCCTTTTGCCGCATCCCTCCTTGACTTCCTTTCCTATTTCGTTCGAGAAATCTTGCTTTTAGTCCTCTCACATGGGCGTGGGAGAGAGGGAGTGGGGAAGCTGACCAGGTAGCAATTCTATCCCTTAACATTCCTCCAAGAGGTACTTGGCCCTGATTCTTCAGGGAATTGGACGGCGACGTCTTTCTCATGCCTCCTTCCTGGTGACATTGGGGGTTGGCCTGCCTCCTGGCTCAGGGCCAAACACCTCCTTCCCTGTCCCTAAAGGGGACTGCTGAGTGGTCAGTAAGCTGGACAGACCGGTCACTATGTGTGATCAGTATCTTGTTCTAAGGAAACAAAATTCAAATCAAGTTTAAAATACATACTCTAAAAATGAGTCTAGTGGTCCTCCAAGAGGAAGAAACCAGGTCATGGATGGTGACCAGCCTTCCATTTCTCCCCAGATGTGCCCAGTCAGCTGGCTGGCAGAGGCCCCCTGAAGAACTCTGCCCCTTCTAAGCAACCTTGTGCATACACCTCTACTAATCCTGAGGAGTTCTCATTAAAACAACAGGATGTGCCTACAGGGCGCACGCCCCACTCTATTCTGCTAACAAATCTAGCACGATGCGGAGAGCCATTATTTGCTGCACCAGAGAATCAAGGGGCATCTGCAGTGCTTTCAATGCCCGTCCTGTGTCTTCAGGTGTATTTTCCACCATGAGCGGCACCTTCTTTATAGTCTGCATGTCATAAATGACACCTGCTGTTAGTTCTGCTAAGGCAGTGATTAGGAAAGTAATTCCTTATCCCAAAGAAACCATAACCGCCATCCAAGGAGATATATGCACACCCATGTTTATCGTGGCTTTGTTCACAATAGCAAAACGCTGGAAACAACCCAAGTGCCCATCAACAAATGAATGGATAGAGAAGCCGTGGTATATCCACACAATGCAATACTACGTTGCATCGAAAAACAAGGAACTCATGAAGTATTATTCAAAATGGGTGACCCTGGAGGACGTTATGCTGAGTGAAGTATCTCAGTCACAAAAGGACAAATGCTGCATGGTGCCACTGTTGTAAAACAGGACTGACAAAGGGGTTGAGGGAGAGACTGAGAAAGATGGGCTAAATTATGTATACTGCATTGAAACAGATGAGGGAGAGAACTGTTTAAAAGTGATATATGATTAGGTATTATTGTCATGACAGAGTCCAGGCTGCACGGTGGAGTGGACTTGGGGGGAGGGATTGTATAACAATGAAAGAATTTTTCTTTTACTTTTCAAAAAGAGCGAATTGGGAGGAGAGGGTGGGCAGGGAGAAAAGTGCAACATGAATGAATGGAAATCCAAAATCTGTACATTTTCATTAAAATTAATAACAATAAAATTTAAAAAAAGAAAGTTGTTCCTATTATTACTAGAGGCTCATCACCACTCTCCGCTTCCTCCACCAGGAATTACATCTGCAGAAGTCCAGAGAGCTAAGTGTCTACACGCAGGAGATGGCTTTTCCGGGCTCACTGCTCCTAGTATGCCAGTGCACCAGATCAGGTCTACACACACCATGGCCACTGAAGGTGTGTGTAACTTCCCTCAACATCCACACCCCGACCAATGCCCTGCAGGTGCACAAGGCAACCATTCTTCCCACTGGCTACTTTTGTCGGGCCCTAAATCAAGATTCCATAAGGATCGTTTTCCATTCACTGCTAAGGACATGACGCCCAGGATATGGATCTAGAGGAGTCCAATCCCTACTGTCTCATATTCCCTGCATAAAGGCCGTCTTAAGCTGTGTATACTTTTAACAGCCACTCTGATGGCTTAGAACAGGAAGCTCTAACCTCTGCTGGGATGCCCCATTGCCCAAGTTCTAATACTGTACTTTTTATTTCTCTCATTTTTTTTTTCCTGTTGTTGTGTGTGCCGTCAAATTGGATCCAACTGGCACAGGAAGAGATTGCCCCTCCTTCTCCAGGGGAGGATCTGGTGGATTTGCACCATGCGCCTTTGGGATTGCAGTGCAGCTTCTTGCCACCGGGCCACTAGGGCTCCCTTCTATACTGTCTTTTTTTAAAAAAAAATTTATTATCTTTTGTGTGTGTACCATCAAATCAGATCTGACTGGTACAGGAGATTGCCTCTCCTGCTCCAGCAGAGCGTCTGGTGGATTTGAACTGCGTACCTCTGGGCTATACCGCCCTTTTTAATAGAGCATCTATAGTTAGGTTTCCTAGTTCAACTGCATTTGGCCCTTCGTTACCCAAAGAACTGAGAAAGTCTAACAGCACCTGCTACACCTTCTCTAAGTTTACGAAAGAAAACTTTAAATCTGACAAGTAGCTTTCAAAGAGAACTTGCTTCTCAATGACTTCAAAGAGCAGGTACGTGATCTCAGGTACTGACAATTTGGGTATTTGCTGAGGCACTGCTCTAACATGAAACAGGATAATCAGCAATAGGTCTACCCCGCTGGACGGAGTTTGCTGGCACAACTCAGCCAGGGTCGTCTTAAGAGTCTGATTCACTTTCTTTACTACAGACTACGTAGAACATTTTACCATTCATCTTTCTAACAACAGTCACTTCCCCTTAAACCTTTACAACTTTCACAACCATCACGACTTTTCTTACCTATTCTTAATAGTAGACGTGTTGTTGTTGTTATGTGCCATCGAGTCGCTTGCGACTCATAGCGACCGTATGTACAAGAGCTCTATACGCTCTTCTATCCTGTGCCAACCTAGCCATCTCAAACACACTTATTCCCACCTCCCCAGTCATAGAATCAATCCATCTCATTGAAGGTCTTCCTCTCCTTCACCGCCCCTCCACTCTCCCAAACATGATGTCCCTCTCCAAGGACCAGTCCCTCCTTGCAACATG